TTGTGCCAGGTGTTTGTAGTGCAGGAAGTGTTCCCTTTTTCTTACCTTTTTTCACTTTTCGTGTTTAGAATACAGGCTGTCTCTTTTCCTGATGTGACGTCTAATGTTTTGAGTCATCCAGGGAATGGATTGCTTCGTACCAATTGTTTTTGTTGGAATGGATTCTGAATGGCTTTATTTAGTTCCGAAGCAAATTCTTGCCAAAGATTTTCAGTGGACTTACCGTGGTGATTTTCGGTGAAAGTTTTTCCGAATGCGCACATCCTATCCTTGAGTTTCTTCCAGTCTGCCTTTTTGTACATATCAACCTGTCTTGGTTTTCGTTTTTGGGATTTAGATTAGAGACTTACTTCTATATACACTGCATCATGGTCTGATAGATCTGGTATATTGGTAACTCGACTAACAAGTATCGGGTTGTTTGTAAGGAATAAATCCAGAATGTTTTCTTTCCTAGTGGGTTTACTCACTATTTGGACTAAGTTGTTGTCATCCAGCATGTTTATGAAGTCTTGGTATATGGGTTGGGCTAGTTGGTCATCCTTTAAAGTGGAAAACGAGTTTTCCCAAGTAAATTTAGGGTAGTTGAAATCACCTGTAACCCATATATTTGAGTTCTTCTTTATCAAGGCAATTGATTTTGCTAGTTCTTCCGCACTCACCTTGTCATGCTCATTTGGTGTGTAATAAGATGCAATGTATAGTGTTTAGTGGCCACTTATTTCCAGTTTGATCCATAAGACCTCGCAGTTGGTTGTTAGTTGCTGTTGTTCACTGCATATAAGATCATTTCTTACTCTTCCAGTGTGTTAAACAAGTTAGAGGAGGACAGGGATGACAGTGGTGTTTCAAATAACACGTTTTAATACTTTGGGGAACCACAATGCAAGCAGACCCACGAGATACTATCATGATTTGATAAGATATTGTACGTATCTGAACCAATATTTTGACAGTTTGTGTGATACCAAGTTTCACATTCATCACATAGTACACCTTTCTTGGTAATATGTGACAGGATCACTACATGTCCCGAATGGTAAATGTGTGGACGACGATGGCCCTGAAGGTCCTGGGTTTACCTCAATGCTTAAGGACATAGAGAGGAGTAACATTGCAAGGTAACAAAGTTGTACCTTTCTCATCGTGTTGACTGTATATGCCTTAGCTTTGCAAGGTCTGGTTATACAGACACACTGGACGACTCGGCTTGGCGCCTGGTGTAGATTGGTGTACATCTACTGGTACCCTCACCGTAGCAGAGTACGTACAACAACTACGTATAATGGCCCCCTCACTGTAGCAGAGTACGTACAACAACTACGTATAATGGCCCCCTCAACGTAGCAGAGTACGTACAACCAATGCTCCCCTCACCGTAATAACTCCCACTATAGGCTGTATTGCTAACTCTACCACACTGACTCCTCTGAGTAGAACTAGCCACAGATAATTCTACACATACCAGAAACATTTTATGACACGAAATGATCTAAAATTAGTTTCGTGTCTTCCCATCGCCATCACAGCTGGTACTGTGTATTGATAATTTTGTGTAATCTTGGGAATTCGAATTTCACTGTCAATAAGTATGACGCTTACTAGTAGTGGCAACAAAATCCAATAAACGGAAGTATAGAATTTGTATGTGTCTGAGGCAACTGCTTACAGTTATTGTGTACATTGTAGTACGTGAATGGCCTAGGGAATCTCCTTACAGACTGGACGAATCGAAAGTACTGCAAATGGATAACAAGTTTCCATAGAAATGCTGTGTTATTTTGCTGGGAGCGAACTTAGACCTGGTGATATCACAAATTATTTTGATAGCAAAACAGTAGGTACATTGTCAATTGAATTGTTTAATGAATGTTTGAAATGAAAAATCTATTATGTTTTAGCATCATATTTGTACCTCTCGCGAGAGACATAAAAATGGAGGCTCTTTGGCTAACTTGCTCTTACTGATTATATAAAATTTGCATTGGCCTGCAGACTGTAACAACCGAACAAGTTGTCTCGTGTGTGAAAACGTAAAGAGTGTTCAGGATTCTCAATGAAACTATGATAGATGTGGAAGTGGAAAAAGGGAAGTGGACTTTATCAGAAAATTGATATTTGGTTTACGAGTTTGAAGTTCTGTATACACAGCGTAGCCTGATTCGTTTTACGGACAATCAATGTAGTTAAACGATCCCTGTGTGTGCACTTTTGCTTTCCAATGGATCCCAAGTGGTCTATATGATCTATCAACCCCAATCCCTATCTACCAATCAGCTGGACGATCGCCACGCTTAGGCTACGTTTAAACTCATCAACTCTATCATAATTCACCATATCGATGCGAGTTTAAACAGACAGGCGTTTTTCATGAATTTGGTAAATGAAAATGGTGGCGCTCCTAAATCATAAGGATCTAAATTAAGATTGTACTTTGATTTCATGAATTCTGGTTCAGTTTTGCAAAATCGGTAATATTTATGATAAAAAAAATTGGATTTTTAAGATTAAAATGTTTTGCGGTTTGAATCCACTACAAAGCAAAACAACATGTTTCTTACTTGCCGGACGTGTCACAATGATTAGCTTAGTACACGTGACTTTTATTGTGATATCATACTTAAAACAATAAAATGACGTCACACTGTCCAATAATAATAAAGTCCGAACTCAAATTACTCTTTCTTAATTGTCGTTTCTCTGATATTGACATCTAATGTGAGAGTCATATCATAACAAGAAGCTCTTATTTGTTTCAATCTAACTAATTGAACTTTTAAAATTTGTTTCAGCACATTATACGGGCCAGTGTCTACACACAGAGTAATGGGTTTCAGAACTCTTCCATAATCGATTTATGTTTATTGTGTGTATTAAGCTTTTTATCAATTGATTCACTGTGTATTGGATCATTTGATATCCACATAACTTATTACATCAAATGGTTTATAAATGGAACGTATTTTACCCATTCACTTTGTCTATCTGTGATTCTGACGCTATACAGAAATATCTATAGCCAGACACACAATAAACGATGATGGTCGACAAATATTATACCATACTCTCTATGTAGTCCATGGCCCCACCAACATGATTACACTAAGCTCAGTACACACACCGACAAAAGGAATGTAACATTACAGAATCATCACACACAAAAAAGCGACAGTGGTACTAGATAACCTTCGCAAACAAAGGGAACACCAGGGTAACAGAACCTTCACACGCTTAAACAAGGGAAACAACACAGCATTACAGGACCTTCACACATTTAAACAAGGGACAGTTGTACTAGAAAACCTTCACACGCTTAAACAAGGGACTATATGACAAGATAACCTTCACACACGTATACAACGGCAATAGCAGGGAGCCTTCACGTGTTTAAACAGGGATAAGTATTTATGGAGACCCTTCACTCAACATATTAAAGGATAGTAGTACTAGAAAACCTTCACCAACACTGACAAAGGGAAAAGCAGTACAACGAACATTCACATGCGTAACTAAGGGGTCAAAAATATAGAATCATCAATTTGTAGCTGAACATACCGAAAATGCCTCGCCACAAACACCTTGAAGCGTTGTTGTGACGCATAATGTAACTATATAGAACTTACATACACGTTCCAGTCTCGGCACTTTATTGCTCAACATACCGACACTGCCTCGACACAACCACTGTATTGCTCACCGTACCGACAACGCCTCGCCACAATCACTTAGATGCGTGGTTATAACATAAAAGTTAGTCATGTACAGTTTCTGTAAATGGTTCACTTCACCTCTCCTCCTAAATTACTACCAACTTCTCATCTTGATAACTTGTAATGAACAAAAAACACAATTAGGGTCAACTGCATGCTACTGCCAACTTTATGCTTTGAGAGGAAGGAATACATCATCCGTTATGTCTTTTGTCTACTCAATATACATTGTTTCTTGATTAATAATGACCATATTTCATCGAGTGGGGACACATGTCCTTTTAAACGAGTGTGCATGAGGACAGAACGATATGAAAATATTCATCCCAACAGTTTAAATAGAAGTTTCATTAAAATTTAATTATTAATTACATTGTTAAAGGCGCACCAGAAATTTGCTATTCGGTCATCGTTCGTAGCATCAGTTAATTGAGGAAATAAACACGTGTTATTTTTCACACTCAAACATCAATTATATTTTTACTAAAACCTCATAAATTTCATTCTTAAATGTGAAATAAATTCATGTATTAGAGGGCACGACTTCTTCCAGCACTTAATTTGATAAAACACGACAGATCTCATCTTAATTGCCTGTTATCATGAAGACATGTATAACACTGAGGATGGCTTTAGATTAAATATCGCAATGTGTGTTTTCAAGCCTGACTTGTAAAACAACAATACTACAGTAGTTATTCTCTAAAATCATCCTCATTTTCAGAAGATCAACAAGATGCATATTTACCTTACGTATGTGATAATGTAATTCACAGAGAATAACAATGTAATATATTTCATGTGAAAAGAACTAGGATTCATCGTCTTAACAATGTGTTACATTATATATAGACTATACATTTGAATGCATAACAGATATCAGTTCACCTCATCTCTGCATTCCTAATCCTTGTTTCCTTGCTCTCTCTCATTATCTCCTCCGAAATTGTTATTCGCAAATGATTTATAAATATTGTGGCGTGTAGCAAGGGTTATTTTGTTTGAAAAATGAATTGTTTTTCCCTTGGTATCATTCACTGATGATTAGGAACATCATTCTAATCTGTATAGTCTTTTGATCAACTCGCAAGAGAGGATATCAAATTGCATGTTTTCCTCCGGTAAACGTAGCTAATTAAACAACAGACAGAAAATGGAACGCTTAAAAGATAGAGCCCACCCAATTCGGAAGCTTAATTAACTTGTTGACAACCATTATTTTAATGCTATTTTCGTCATCATTCTTTTCTTTTATCTCATTTAATTATGTTCAAATGGTTTATAACTTACCTATATTTTTATAAAGACTTTTCTGTATGGTATCGGAACTATTTGAATACTGCGAATCATCTAAATTTTGCACGTCCGGACATTCATCAGCGACGAATCCGGCCGGGACTTTGTACACGCCGAAGAATAGTTCGTCGTTATTTGTATAGTGTATGACGTCGAACTTGACGTTGATTGTGTTGACGCTGCAGCACCAGCGAGGTCTTACTTGTGTATGACAAGTGAACGTCTGAAAGGAACGAAAACAAATCATACAGTTTTAATGATAGGCAGTCGTTATGTGTTTGTAAAATGGTTGTCAAACACTTTATAGTGTGTCATGCATACACATTAGTGGGAAAATGCCGACGTTCGATACAATGGTTTGTATTGATAGACAGAAGAGTTGACCCATGTGGAGTAGGATTATTATTTATTAAAGGAATGTTATTACTAACATAATGGACAGGCGTATCTGAGCCAGACTATAATAATTCACTCATAATTACTCCATGACATTCAACCATTTAGGTTAGGGGTGGGGGGTCAGTTTAATTATCCTTTGTGGCTTGACAGACGTTCCCTTTGCGTACAATTGAGATATGTATTACATCACAACCTGCGATCATTTGACTTTCGAACATCAACATAAATATTTATTTCTGAATAGGTGCGGTTCCATTTTTCTGAATGAAATCGTCATTTTGGAATAAGTGGGTTCGGATTAATGAGTTTATATGGTACAAATATTATAACCATAGTATTTGTACGTTAATCAATGATCGTACGTTTAACCAAACGTACTATCATTGATTAACGCTATCTCTGAAAATGTGAGCTAGATCAAAGGGAGCAGCGGATATTGCTATTTCTCGAAGCGGAAGTAAGTTGCCTGATCTGTCCCCGGGTCAACGTTTAGTCGTTTGTCATGGAAGATATCTACTCTTTAGTGACAGTATCTTATTACTAGCCTTTCATGGTGGTACTCAATTTGTCAGTAAAAGAAATACCGACATTGAAGCATTATGACCAAGATTTACGGAGGAATCCCTCCAGGAGCAAGTCTGGTCTGAGTCGTATTACAACCTCACACTGTACAATATTAGGTATTGTGATCATTAGCTCATGTTAAAATAAATTGCTATGAGGTCAGCAGACCAAAACTTGGTTTCTCAGCAGAAGACGTGAAGAAAAAATGATGGTCCCGGTGAATTCGACTTAACAGAGCACGCTGTGAGCGCTGAGGTAGAGATGGGAATGTATACTATATCAAAACTAGTTTCACGACATTGAACCGGACTTGACAGGACTAAAAATAACCTCTAATAAATATATATAAGAAATGAGCAATTAACTTTTCATGTTCTGTGCTTACGTTCACATTCATGTATGATAACACATACTTTATAACTAAGTGTGTCTACTAATTTTTCCAGTGGAGACATTTTTCTGAACACCACTAGTCAATGAAAATTGTACGGATAAGTGCAAGAATAGTAAACAATACTCGAGATATTTGTTATAATCGATAGCTACAATAAGTTGGCACTGTCGCTAGTCACGCCATTCATACGATGGAAACTAATAGGTACGTGTATATATAAACCAAGGATCCATAATATTTGAAAGCATATCCGATATATACCACACAAGGAAAGAATCATGTAGCGCTTGTTAAGTAATAGCTCCTCGTTGATATGAAATTTTCAAGCGCATCAGAGCATAATGAGATTGCTTCATAATATTAAAATATTTCTACCCTTTTCAGAGATTTTCGTGAAGATACATGAAAAAGGGGAAAGTGTCAGGAAGAGAGCAATTTTCAAACTGCTATAAAATACTTTAAAGAAATGTTAAACACAACATGTATAACATTATAATAAGAAATAATAAAAGGGTAGAAGACTCTTTCTGCGTTTCATAGTTAACTTACATGCCATTTGGTATTTCTTTCATTCAAGCAATTCGTAAAATTCTTTGGTTTTCCGCACCGTTGTCCATGTGTCGTGAGTTTAAATCACAGAACACGGAAACGTTGTAATGCAAGTGTGATGGAAACATATTTAAAATTCAATTTTGAGCATGCAAATGCAAATGTGTGTACCTTAAATGGTCGGCCGGACGTTGTGAGTCCATAGTACCGTATACGTGTTGAACAGTCATGAATAGCAATGTTCAGTATTTCTATGCACGTTAAAGAATCACTATAAACATCGGGTTTCTTATGAAATCCGACAGTGCAGCTGTTGCCCCACATCCCTTTCCACTTAAAGTACCGAAGCTGGGCTCCCACCATATTAACTCTGTTGGCATCACAGGCTGGAGTATCTGCCAACACTTCGAAAATAAGAAATGGTCATATTAGGTATTTTGGGCGAACTACATGGACAATCACTAAATTATGTTACATGTATAATGCAGATAGACAAATTAATTTTTTGCCCAGTTTTATTTTCGCCCTTCACATTTCATTTCTATGAATATTATGTTGTTTATATTTATATTAGCTGTAATGATAATTTCGCCATCATTACGAAGGTCGAAAGGTGCAAAATTGAACTGCGGCGAAATGTCCCAGTATACAGCAGTTTCATGGAATGTACAAATTATGCACTTTGAAGATACTGTCTAGATTTGTTTTTCCCTTTTTGTTTTATTTTCTTGTCTCAATCATAAAAGGTGATAGATTGATTCGATTCAACACTTCCTAAACAAGCAAGATATTAATGCAATATTCTGGTTTGTGCAAATTGCCTCCAGTCTCAAAATAAAAGCAATAATACTCCGGTTAAACCGCCCTATTAAATGTGTCAATTGTAAATATGAGCAAACCAAATTACGTTTTTTCAGACCTTTGAGAGCAACTGTTTGGCATGGGTTCGAATCCCGGTCTAGTCCTGCTCTAATTTACACTTAGAACAATGTTATTGATCATATTTTGTTTTTTTCATCTGTATGAATTATTTCTCATAAAATTACCGCAAGAAATGGTTTTCTTCTCAGAAATCATTTACCATAGCTATGGTAATGACAAAAAAAGAACAAAAATAAGTTTCCAAAATATTTAGTTACAGTTTGCGGCAGTGATTCAGGGATCCTTAAGAATATATTATTGCCACTCTCTTCTTTTCAATTAGCTTTAACCTCAAATATGATTACCGGTAAACCAAGTAACTAAACATATGGCGACAGAAAAAATAATGTTTAACATACAAGACTAAGGCATCAATGCAGTTCTCTTAGATATGATCTATTCTGTGCAAACTTAGATCAATATTGTGAAAATGCCTATCATATCTTCTTTTGGTGTCAATCTTATAGTAATGCTCGTACAGTATTGTTCCAAAACATTAACAAGAGGCCCAGGGGCCATGTATCGCTCACCTGGATATCTAAGCAATCATGGCAAAATATTCTCCAAATGAAATCCAAGGGAATATGCCAGACCCCAAGGCAAATCCTTGCAGAATATCTGTATTAGATTGTTCATGCCAAGCAATTTAATGTATGGTTATGGGGTGGGGATCTCAATTGTTTCCAAGCTGTGACTCAGAAACTAGGTCACTAGGGTTATGGCCATGCCCCAGGATCATTTCTAATATCATGACTGCATTTGTCTCTTTTTGCCCAGTATATATAGTTTTGGGGTGGAGATCTCACCCGTTTCAAAGTTATGACCCAGGGGTTAAGTCTGCAAGGGTGGGGCAGACCCTGGGGTCAATTCTAATATCATGACTGCATTCGTCTCTTTATGCCCAACAATTGTATAAATAGTTTTGGGGTGGGGATCTCAACCATTTCGAAGTTATGACCCAGGGGTTAAGGCTCCAATGGTGGGGCAGATAGAAGATAGCCAAATTGCCCCCTTTTGGTCCCGCCCTCAGCCCCCTGGGGGGTCAGCCCAACCATTTGTACAATTTGAATCTCCAACACCTAGGGATGCTTCCAGTTAAATATGGTTGATATCCATCTCTTAGTTCCAGAGAAGAAGTCGCTTAAAGCAATATAGCCAAATTGCCCCCTTTTTGCCCCGCCCCTCAGCCTTCTGGGGGTCAGCCCCACCATTTGTACAATTTTGAATCCTCACCACCTAGGGATGATTCTAGTCAAATTTAGTTAAATTCCAATCAGTGGTTAAGAAAAAGAAGTCGTTTAAAGAAATTGTTGACGGACGGACGACGGACGACACACGATGGATGGACGACGGACGGACGACGGACGCTACGGTATGAGATATTTAACAATATAAATACGCAAATATTGAGATTACTACTACTTGGTGACGAAAACCTAGATTTGTATGATAAATGTAACTTATTTTGACATTTGCAAACTTTTATTAGATCCAGCGAAAGATTTTGAATATAAAATGTATGTACATTTGTAGGTTTTGACTTCCTACCATTATTTGTATTATTTGTCTGTCTTTGTAATCACTTATTATTGAAATGTTGATAGGAGATGGCTTCATAAGTTTCAATAACTTGTGCCAAATCCCTTGTACCCATTTGGACAATAAATATTGGCACCCGTAAAATATGTTGTACACAAATGATATGGATACTTGCTGTGAAGGCTGCGACTAACATACCTACTGCGTTGAACGGGTCTGTGGTCGTCGTCGTTGCGGTTGTTGTAGTGGGCGGGAGACAATCGTCGTACACACTTCCGGCGGCCATTGCAAAGACCCGGAAGAAGAAATTGCTGTTCGTTGAGCGATTATTGTGGAGTTTGATCGTTATGGCTTCGACATTACAACACCACGTTCGTGAGTTAGGACTCTTATGACAATTAAACGTCTGCAATAAGTCAAAACACAGAATCAATAATACGACAACAGAATATAAAATTACAGACATGATCATACCTCGTGAGTTAGGACTCGTATGACAATTAAACGTCTGCAATAAGTCAGAACACAATCAATTATAGGACAACAGCATATAAAAGTACAGACATGATCGTACCATGGGAACTCGAAAGCACACCTAACGGGTTTCAAGACCAATTTTACTTGAAAGAGTAACCTTTGTTTATTGCGAAAATGTAGACATTCTCAGATACACTTAAACATTTGGATATTATCAGATACAGTGCATGTTACTTTGCTTAGCAAGTTTTAAGGAGTTTATTATTGGCTTAAACTGTTTTAGCGATCATTTTTTTCACTGGTGGCTATCCAGAACATTCGCATGTGTTTTTTAGACTAAGAACTTAATTAAAAAAAAAGAAAAAACGACCTTATAATACAACATACCTTTCCTTTAGAATCTAAAAAATATATATTAAGGTCAGATTTGTCAGCATTGTGCATTTTTCTTTAGCGTTCGATTTAGACACATAACGTGCATATAATTCGGAATGATCATTACGACACAAGAAACATAAAATGATCACAACCTTACATAAGTGTGATTTTCCCCCAGAAATGTTCCTAGCATTGCCATACTCAACATGTGGTGTATGTTATAAAGACTATTAGAAGTTGGTCCTTGAAGTGAAGTAATATAAAACACTCTCATCACTCTCTCGCCTTTACTGGACGAACCATTCTAGTGTTTCAGAGGGAGTAACTCTACAGTTTTTTGCCCGTTCGATTTCGCATGTTGTGTTTACACTGAGAAACAGTTCTCTCGGGATTGCAAGAGATTGCAAGAATGTTCAAGATCAATGAAACAATGAATACGAGTTACATACATCTCTGTTTTTCACTAGATGCTTTATCACAGAGGCCAAACCGATGTTCACCCTCCCCACAGTCAAACCTTTAGTATAACAACTTCTTCTACCCCTGTTTATCAAAGCAGGCTTTTAGTAGGTTATGATAAGTCCGTGTTTGTTTATAAACCTCAGAATTACGTACCGTCATGGTATGAAGTCTTTCTCCTTGTCAAGATTCTAGAGTAATGTATATTTGACACGATGTCGACAATTCGAATCTTATTGTTAATAATACTAGCTATACAAATATTACTATATATGGTGAAATTAATAACGGAGAGTCACTAGAAACGAAGAAAGGACCGACCTATTTAGAATTTTGTTTGTAGATACAGAAAAAAGCATATCGCCTTTTCGTCAATTTAGAAACCACCAGGTCAAAAGGACTAAACCATGGAGCACATCCATGACAAAACTGTCCCGAATCATTGTAGAATATAGTGAAAAGGTAAAACAAAATCATAAAACCCTTTATGATGTTCTAAATTTTAAAATGTTGGTTTCTACAGATAATCTATTCGTAAACTAATATTTCATGTTAACCATGTCAGATCAATGTCCAGCCCCAAGGCCACGTCCAGCCTCGAGGACTGATGGCCAACCAGCAAAGTCGACCACCTTGTTGCGTAACATTATCATTGGAAATACGAAGGCTATTTGGAACTGGATATATTCCCTGTCGTGGTATTGAGGCTTTCTGACACAGAAATAGAACTCCTGATATAAAATTCTACTATTCAATTAAGATCGAGCTCAGACGCACCCATTGCATCTAGTGCTTTTTACTCACCCTAGCTGGAGTGGTAAGGTTAATTCCATAGTACTCTACATCCGCTGAACAATCTACAAACTCAAAGCTTAGGATTTCCACGCAAACGTAATGATCCCTCACAGACGTTCTTTTGCTAAAGTCCATAATGCAATTCCGAATCGTTGATCCATTCCATCGGTAATATGTCGGCTTTTCGTTGGCGAAATTTGATCTGTAGGCCGTACATGACTCTCTGTTGTATAATACAGCTGTAATAGAAAGATTGTATGGGCAATTTGTCTGTAATGGTACTATTTTAAATAGTAATATAATAATATCAGAGACTGATGGAAAAGATGAAAATAAAATGCATTGCCTACGGAACAATTTCAATTCATTTTGAAAGTATGGTTATTTTTTTTTATATCAAATATAATACAATATGTACTGAATAATTCTGTTTTTTTTTAAAGTTTAGGCATCAGGTATACGGCTTGTTGTTGATACCATGGAAAGGCAAGTATGACTTATAATTTGATAATTTAGCTTAAAATATTGGAAGTGTGCATAGGCAAATACATCTCCAGCACAAACGCAGGCATACACACATAGGGAGATATTAGCCAGGTGGCATAGGACTAGTATCGTAGTTAGCGCCTGATAAGGCAGCTCCTGTGAATTCCTCAAAAAATGTATATCCTAATTGTATTAATTGTATATATATGTACTGTAAAGCGCTTTAGAGTGGCTTATGTAAGCTGGATAGGGCGCTATATCAAATGCTGTATATTATTATTATTATTATTATTTGATTAAAGTATCATTGAAAAAGACAATTTTGATACATATTTATATACATAATATTTTGGTTTAAGTATTGTCATCACGCAAGAGCATTGCTATAACTGACAGTAACTGTTATAAAACAGTTAAACCATAACATAATCTATATGATATTCAGTCTATATTGATAATTAAGTTACACCTAGAAATACAGAAAATTGCATTTCTTTTATTTTATTTTTAGAAAAAGTGTTTTTTTCTTTCACTTAAATTATATCCCTTTAATAATAAATCGATATATATAACATTTCAAATTGGATTGCAAAAATAAACCCTCTTGTGAATTAAGGAACACAAAGTTGTATACGGGGGTGGGAATGAGACCTCACAAATACAATTCAAATATAATAGACTTAACCTTGTGAACATTTACGATACGGTAGTGGTATTATGTTATATCAAGTATATACACTGTGATACATAACAGAATAACTGATCAATACAATTTACAGTCTGAATAAAATCGTCCCCGTGATAAACACTCTTCAGAGATGATTGAAATAGTCGCTCTTAGTCTCAAACGGGACCATCTCTGCTAAAATCAATTAGTTATCGTGCTGTTTGTTTCCTAAGGGGTGTGAGGCAAATGGATAATATCTGAGAAGAAGTTACACCCCCTCGCTCATAGAGAAGATACATGGACCGAAGGTTTATTGTGACCCATTTTTCGCTGACCGTAAGGTGGCAGGGTCAGTAAATATTTGACTTTGCTGGGTAACCGTTATCAAGACACATTTGATAAACCGATACATGATTGCATTGTATAACACCGCCAAGAGGAACTAATTTAGGAAAGTATCAACGAGTCTCACTCTGTGCTTGACCCATGAATAATCAATCCATAATTACAAATATGATCGGTTAATAAATACCGTAATCATTTGTCTGAAACAAAATTCATTTGTTTTGTTTAGACATAACGACATCGTTAATTAGCGGTGGCCAACACCGAATCGATGGTGTTCGCCCTGTGGGACAGCGTTACTGCCAACTCACAGGCACCGCAAACGATAACGGTAGTTCATCAGACAGCGGCACCGATTTCAACAGCACTTTTTTTAGATGATCAAAGTGGAATGTTTAAAAAGATACATTATTACTGCTGAAATATTTCTCTTCTCTGTTAAAAAACGCCACCTTAATTGTTCTATAACCCAACTCATACTTCAAGTGATCGAAATTGTAAGTGATTTGATAACATATTTTCTCACGTTTTCGTCAAAACCGCAAGCGTCAACTCATTGAGAGAGCTTTAAACGACAACAATCATGATCTGACCCAATTTAACACATTCATTATTTTATCTGATTAACTAATGTGTTATGATGATTTTTTCCCCACAATTAACTATTCTCATTTCATTATCCTTAGTAGCACTTGAGCTATTTTATGATATGATCCATCATTGGCGTGTTACGATCTAATAGACTAACAATAACTCTGCTCTGTTATGGTCTGGCTCAACAATTCGAAACATCTCTGGTATTTTTTAAGAGCTAAACCATCTTACAATTCCTATATGATATTATGATCTGATGGACAAATATTATGGACTTATGGACCATTTACATTTTTGCTATTTTATGATCTTATAGACCTTTTTACACCGGTGCTATATTTTGATCCGATGGACTAGTTACATCTCTGCTAATTTATGATTTTATAGACTATAGTTACACCTCTGTTGTATTATGATCTGATGGACTAATATTATGAACTTATGGACCATTTACATCTTTGCTATATTATGATCTTATAGACTTTTTACACCGGTGCTATATTTTGATCCGATGGACTAGTTACATCTCTGATAATTTATGATTGTATAGACTATAGTTACACCTCTGTTGTATTATGATCTGATGGACGAATTACACTCGGCCTGATATATTATGAACTGATGGACAAATTACACTTCGGCCTGATATATTATGAACTGCTAGACTATTATTCATATTCTGCTATGTTATGATCCGATGGACTAAAAACACCTGCGCTATATTATGATATTATTGGCTACAATAACACCTCAGCTATATTATGATCTTATTGACAATAATAACACCTATTGAAAGGAAAGTGTTTAGGGGCAGAAGAATAGCGGTCTCTGTTACAGAATAAGACCCAATAGAAATACGAGCGATATGTCATGCTATGAGCATTATGAGCATCGAGTTACACGTGTAAAATATCATGATACGCGTACCTACTAGTAACAGTGTTTGTTTTTAATTCTTATACTCTTTGATAAGTAACTGAAAGTGTAAAAATATGTCAATACTTTGTAACACAAGATAACCGTTTTTCGCTTTTTGTTCATACAAAAGTGACCCATGCAAGGCATTTGCATTAACTTAAATTTGAGATTTACATGGCAGGTTTCGTCGATGAAACAGTAGACGCTTACCCTTCCGGAACACCTTGACTTATTATCCTTATATTTTTTTCAAATGTTTTTTTTTTAAAACTATGGTTTTGTTGACACAACTTCGGCATTGTNTTTTTTTTTTTTTTTTTTTTTTTTTTTTTAAAAAAAATAAAAAAATATCACACTATTCAAAACATACGTCAGAATAACTTCTCTACATAAGTACAAACAATCCAGATATTATTTCTGAATAAACTTAAGCATTCAGTATGCGCCAGATGACAATAAGATAAATCTGAGCCACTGCTATATACTGTATACATGTACATGTGGTATAGTGTTAGTTAAGTGTCTATCTGATATCATCGCGAGGGGTTTATAGAGTTCCAAATTAAGGATTAACCTTTTCAATCTTTTAAAATGTGTGATGGTATCTCTCAAACATGACAATTCGAAGAGTCAGTAGAATTATATTTATATCATACAAGTTGTGTATGTACAGGCAACGAAATAAGAAACAACTAACCGACAAATTGTAAAACACTATATGTAGATCATGGGATTGTCGGAACGAGGCACTTTTAAAACAAACTGTAAAAAAAAACCACTTGTATATATGATAATATGACAAGTTCAAGTTTTCGAGAGTTACGTTACCAGCACAATAACACGTTTATAAGAGGCACATTACTGTCAAATGTTAATAAACTTGTATGTAAACAATATGAATAGTCAACAATGATCGCCTAACCTAATGTAATACGTTTGTATATAGAAAGTAGAGTAAGCCATTAAAAGTGACCTAACTAACACACTATATCCGACTAAGTGACGTAGCTTATACAGCGATTGGAAACGGAATGATGATATTTACATAGAAACTGCACCAATCGAAGTATTTTTGGGATATTACTATGCTATTTCATTTATTTTCAAATTACTAGGTAATTACCATCAACCTAACAAGACAAGTAGTTATATATACATATGTGTTTTTTACGGGACTTCCCGCTGGTTAATTGACTTCAGAAAACGTGTTATTTATGAATGGAGATGGTAAGCACTCACCTTCACCTGTTACAAATATTGGTCCGATGCTCAACGATATATAGAACATGGCCACACACAGAAACTGGACACAGTCCATCATTCATGGAATCCTTTCTCGAATGGCAAGCACTTCCGCCGGACTATCGATACTTGGGTAAGACCTCACATGTCGTGTTAATATACGCTTCTCACTAGAACAACGGCGGGAGGCTCACCATCACTACGGCCCGATACACAGAGAATCGGCTCCATCACGTGACCCGGGACATAAAGAAGTCCCCAGTCCCAACTGTTGTTCCTATTTTATTCATTCAATGCCTGAAAATAGAATTACGATGCTCGAAACATATACCACGATTCAATATGGCGAAGTGACATACATCTCTAACCTAAAATATGATCACCGATATAAATATGAAATCCTATTTTCAATATAATTTTTTGTAAGAGAATTGCCTACAATCCCTGGCGGGACTCTTTGTCTAAGACTCAAGTCTCCGTATATTGTATACGTAAGCTAACTCAATCTAATATCCGAGTTTATTAGTTTGCATGCATTTTCATCTATCATGCGTCTATTAATTAGATAAGTGAACTCCCCACAGTGAGCTATCTGAATTAGCGAGGGCCTCTCCAGTCTCTCGTGTCTCGTGCTATCTCGTGAATGTATTGACGAAACTCAACATAATGTGTGCTAATGTTCTCCACACAGTTCTCTTGAGGGCGCCATTGATTATGATGGCCGTTTTATTACGTCACTTCCTCCCAAACTTCATCAACATAATTATGGTCACAGTAGATTTGAGCAGGACAACATCTGGTCATTAAATGATTTTATTTATTTCGGCGAAATAATTCAATCCTTTTCTCGCCCTTCTAATATATAATGTGAAAAGTTAGAAATCCTTGGTGAACAAATATTCTTAAATTATCAAAATGTATAACTAAATTTATTTCTATTAAAGGAGCCGAGGTTAAACTTCTGGATTGACTTTTATATCACATTTTCAAGAATATCTGCGACTCTCCGTATGCTATCATGGTATATCTGACCATTGTTTTTAGCGCCATTGTTTTAATCAAATACTATTGCAGTATTACACATTTAGTAAATTAATTGTCTTCAATGCAACGTTTAATTGTCGTGACGTCATGTTTAATGTCACAGTGTGCGCTATAGAGGGTCTGGGGTTTTATATTTAGCAATTACCATGATTTAGTGCTCTAGAATAAGCGTGAAAACCTCTCAGATATCATCACTTTCAAAATAAAGCATAAATAAGAAACAAATATATTAAAGTACACTACTGTTCTTTCCGTGTTGAAAAAGTGTACATGTCACAGTTGATTAGCCTCTCCAAGTGATGTAGCTATGCTATGTATGTTGATGACTTTTGTTTAAACTGAATATTTTTTCTGCTTTAAAAATGCTTTTCAGAAGAAGGAGAAAAGAAAATATTCTTAGTTGAGGAACATTTCTATCGTTTTCACGTGATACTTTAACACATTATCAGTGTTTCGAAAGAAGCTCTTCACTACCAGCCTGTCTTGCATGCTTACTTATGAACCTGATTGTATAGTAGTGCTATTGAAATTCTTGAAAGATCCTTTGTTTCCACATTCAGATATTATAAAGAGACTTTATACCATGCCAAACAAGAAGGCTGACAGAAGTGAAATATCACAACGTCAACGTACAAAAGGAACCTCAAGCTGATGTACGAGGTGACACCAAAACACGAGCCCCCACACAAAAACTAGGATGTTATGCAACTTATATGACTTATTTGTCTTCCCCCTAAGAAAGTATGTCTGTTATCGACTTTCCCAGGTCTGGTTGATCATGGTAGATAGTGAAATATCATAGTACGAATTCAGGTTGTGATGGTGCCACCAGAAACATTTTAACGTTCATGTAGATGTAAGGATATACAGTGGAAAATACAGGCTGTGTTGTTTACTTATAACAGGACGAATATATCTAAAACAGGTCCATACCTAAAAGATTGCGTCGGGGAGCGAATCAATAATGAAAGGTAGACTCCATAACCAGGGGAAGGCTTGAATGATACCACTGAGGGAGGACTAATAAACGATAGAGATAGTAAAGTAGTAATGCTTGTCATAGAATAAATGTAACCTCACTATCATAGTATAGTACAGCGACAGCTAATTCATGTTGTAAACGCATTGTAGATATGCGTAGAGGATGCTCGTACATCGTGTAATATTGCATTTATAAAAGATGTTAAAAGATATAGTAAGCCAAAATAAATATCACTGCACCATATAGCTGTTTGCATATGCAAGGTCCAGTTGGTCTGATCTACCATTGAAACAGAAGGGGATGTGCATGAATGTAATTGCAAAGTAATAATTAGTAAAGTATGCCAATTAAGAACTGTGTCTCTCAAAAGCGATAGATGTAGCCATCAAGGTACGACAAACCTCGTCGACTAACAGACCAACAGCAGTCTAACAGCTTATGTTGTATCACAAATACGAAGATAGAGTATGTGATATTTTTGAATTCAAGATGCAGTATTTTGTTCAAAAGTATAAAATATAATGTTCATCAAATTATAAAAAAGTGTTGTCTACTTAAATCTTATTATGCGGACACCATTGTTGCGTGTGTGTTTATTTTTTCTTGACAGCAGTGTGCTGTTTAACAAAGCAATCTTATTTCTATTGGCGATAAGATATATTCATGTCCACGTTTTTCAGCTTTAGACAGAAACATACACCATGAAACTGGTGATATAAAATGTCGAGAAGTCAAAAGCTTTCACTTATCTGACTCTTTCTATATTGATTACGTCTGAATTTTAGGCTCATTGCGAAGACGTCATGTAAATACCACCCTTTATTTATTCATTTATGTGCACATTGCGATGATTATCTCCTTGCTTAATGTATGAAAATGATTGTAAGCCTTTGTTTTTGTTTCACAATTATAACTATTTCTATTATCCATATGTTGTAAAACGCTTTAGAGTAGTTTTACAAATTATATAGGGCGATATATAAATGTTGTATATTATTATTATTTATTATTATTATCATCAGCTTAATTCCGGTAAGTGGATACATAGAGCTATTTTACCCTTTTGAGAAAAATCTAGGAATCTGATTGGTTAAAATCTACTGTGTACCAAACCGCATTCGTAAATCTCAGGGGGTATACAAAAATCTCAGAGGGTATACGGTCATGTCACGTGATTCTCAGCAGTAATACGGTGGAATCACGTGATTTTACAAGGGGTATACGGGTCACGTTTCTTTGTATCTTGCGGCCGGGCAACGGGAGACAACTCGCATTCGTCGTCTGCTTCGCTGTTTACAAAACTGCAAGACGTTTCGCTTCGCATACTGATGAGGAAATACTCTTTGTTTCTATCATAAAAGACTCAAAGGGGTAATAAACTCGTTACACGGATTTTTGGTAGGGTATAAGGAATGGTATGATCCTACGGGATTTCGTATTTCCTGCGGCCTATCGGCCTCAGGAAATACGAAACCCTTTAGGGTCATACCATCCCGTATACCCTGCCAAAAATCCGTGTAACTAATAGTATCATACACTGTTTTTAAGTCCGTTATAAATTCATTTATTCATTCTCTCCTGTTTCCAGTGGGGGTGAAAAAAAGCATTTAAAAGTAAAATAGTAATAAAGACCAAACCATAGCGTAAAAACACAAAGACAAAATAAACATAAAAATGGGAATTATGGACAAAAATCTGGAAGTGGATCGGATGCTTAGAAAAGGGAAGTGCTTCCTGAACCACATGTGGCACCTAACAAATACAGGAGTATATGGATGTTATTTGATATACATTTTTTTTTCTGGTGATACTTTTACGACACAGGGTGGGTGACTGCTGCTGGACTGTCAGTCGATCGCTGGACTGTGACTGGACTGTGGGTCGCTTAAAACGTGATGCCAGCCAGAAGTTCTTGATTTTGTTTTGTTATCCCGGAACGCCTGATTTTATTCTCTTAGAAGTTCTTCTTTGCCCTCCATATAAGTTTTTTCCTATGTTCATATTTTGCACTAATTCTATCCATTTTGAGTTGATGGTTTTGTTGACAATTCGGTATTCTCTTGCTTTTTTCCACACTCGGCAGACCCTGTTCTTCTCTTCTCTCTGTTTCCCACACTCGGCAGACCCTGTTCTTCTCTTCTCTATGCTTTCCACACTCGGCAGACCCTATTTTTTCTCTTCTCTATGTTTTCCACACTCGGCAGACCCTGTTCTTCTCTTTTCGATACTTTCCACACTCAGCAGACGCTGTTCTTCTCTTCTCTATCCTTTCCACACTCGGCAGACCCTGTTCTTCTCTTCTCTATGTTTTCAAACAATCGGCAGACCCTGTTCTTCTCTTCTCTATTCTTTCCACACTCGACAGACCCTGTTCTTCTCTTCTCTATGCTTTCCATACTCGCCGGCGCTGTTCTTCTCTTCTCTATATTTTCAAACACTCGGCAGACCCTGTTCTTCCCATCTTTATGCTTTCCACACTTCGGCAGACCCTGTTCTTCTTATCTCTATGTTTTCCATATTCGGCAGACCAGACCCTATTCTTCTCTTCTCATTGTTTTCCACACTCGGCAGACCCTATTCTTCTTTTCTCTATGTTTTCCACACTCGGCAGACCCTGTTCTTTTCTTCTCTATGTTTTTCACACTCGGCAGACCCTGTTCTTCTCTTCTCTATGTTTTCCACACTAGGCAGACCCTGTTCTTCTCTTCTCTATGTTTTCCACAATCGGCAGACCCTATCCTTATCTTCTCTATATTTTCCACAATCGGCAGACCCCGTTCCTCTCTTACCTATGCTTTCCACACTCGGCAGACCCTATTCGTCTCTTCTCTATGTTTTCCACACTCGGCAGACCCTGTTTTTCTCTTCTCTTTGCTTTCCACACTTCGCCAGACCCTGTTTTCTCTTCTCTATGCTTTCCACACTTCGCCAGACCCTGTTTTCTCTTCTCTATGTTTTCCACAGTCGGCAGACGCTATTCTTCTCTTCTCTATACTTTCCACAGTCGGCAGACCCTGTTCTTCTCTTCTCTATGTTTTTCATACTCGGCAGACCCTGTTTTCTCTTCTCTATGCTTTCCACACTTCGCCAGACCCTGTTTTCTCTTCTCTATGTTTTCCACAGTCGGCAGACCCTATTCTTCTCTTCTCTATGCTTTCCACACCCGGCAGACCCTGT